AACAATCACGAGAGCAGCTGAAGAGACGTACCCAAAGGAACCAGAACAGCCGATGAAGCCCGACCCAACCCAGAGGGGTAATCTAGCAAGGCAAAGTTCAGACTGCAGCACAGATGCTCGAGCACCCGACAAGTGACCTGGTAGCCCCTAGAAATAGCAGAAGGCAGGATCACAGCGGAAGTAACGATGCCGGAAGGAGAGACAAGGAAGCGGTCTGAGAGTCCCGCACAAGACCCAGCCAAGTCCGAACCTGAGAGGGGAACCAGATGTGACTTCCTCCAGTTCGCCATGAACCTGAACCCGGCGAGCTGGGAAAGAACAAAACCCTTGGCGAGCAGACAAGCGGACCGGCTGGGAGCTCACACCAGTCAGTCATCGAAGAAGGCCAGAAGCCGAACCCCTAGCAGACACAAGCAGGTCACCATGACCTGTGTAAGGCGCGTGAAAACGCGAGGTGCCGACTCAAGCCGAATGGAAGGCAACGAAAGCTGTAAGCTTATTGCCCAATGACAAAACCAAGCCAGTCCCTGAACCCCGGGTGAATTGGGACATGCCAATATGCGTCCCAGAGGGCCAGACACACCATCCAAGCATCTGGCTTCAAAAGAAGGCAGACTTGGGACAGTGGGGTCATCTGAAAGGAGGGGCAAAGAACCCAGGAGTTCAAACAGGACAAGTCCAGAATCGGCATTTCGAGACCGGAAACGGGCAGGAAACCCACCTGAAAGACGAGGTTGTTTCAACCACACCCAAGCAAACCCACTCCGAGATGATGCGACAGAGCGCATGAGAAGAGGCCTGCCCTGTGAATCCTGAAACCCCCAAAGGAAGAGGAGCCATTCAACACCACTGCAGGCTGGTGGAAACAACCCGAAATGCCCACAAATCGTGGGACCAGGCGTGAGCAAATAGAGCAATCCTCCCCCACATCGCCCTGTCAACAGGACTACCCACAAAAGACTCGATGCCTCTTACAAGCACCCGACCGATGCGCAGAGTGATCACTGCGCTGACCAGACCCAATCGGTTCTGAAGGAAGCTCTGGCCCCGAAACTGGCACCACTGGCTCACCATGACCCACAGAACCCAAACCCTGGCACGACTCCTCCGGAACCACCCCCACGGCCACCCCCGGAGAACCAACAAGTCTGACATAAGGCGACAGCTAGAAGCAGTCGCCTGCAGATACTGCACAACCACACAATCCACAAACAGCAACAGACAAAAAGTGACGAAAATCTAAGAGCCAGGGCCCACGCGGATTCCAGAGAATGAGCGAGCTCAGCCTGCCGACATGTGAGGCGAGAAGCAAAGAATAGAGAGCCTCCTTCAGTGTTGTTTTCACAAGTTGTTTTGCGCCTCTTTTAGAATCAGCGCAAACAACTTCAACAATGCAGCCGACACCCGAGCTGCTGAGGCAAGCGCACTGAACACAGGCCCAGTACCCAGCGCCTCCACATCCTCCTCAAGCCAGTCTGAAGACAGCTCAAGCAGGGAAAAGAAACACAAAGCCAAAGCCAAATGCCCCGGGCACGCAAATCCTCAGCTACCAGAGGTGCCGAAAGGATGGAAACATGCACGTGAAGCTGACCTGGTCAATATCTTTAAGAATAAATGGGGCAAATAAGCCCACACTGAAGTGCTCCAACTCGCCCACCAGATAAACCTGAACCACCGAAGAAGTTTCCCACCATTCAAGCGTGCGGGTCCGACAGAACAGGTGCCACGCCCCCAAAGAAAAGAAAGGACAGTCTGCTAACCAGAATGACTCCGACACCTCGTAATGCACTCAATATGGAAAAGTAGAACCCAACTCAAACAAGGAAGGGTCCATTATCAAGGCAAAATCCAGGTCACACAGGAGGTACGCTGCAATGGCCTCCCGAAACCTCCATAGGCGGGATGCGGGAGGCTGAAAACCTCAGGAAGGATGGGCCCGAAGAACCCAAGGGAACCCAGAACTGAATCCGAGGAGGAGCAGAACTGTCATCAAATTTGTACTGGGAGGGAAGGGTTACCTTACCTTGAGGTTACCTTGAGGTGCTTCCGGGGCTTAGCGTCCCCGCGGCCCGGTCGTCGACCAGGCCTCCTGGTTGCCGGACTGATCATCCAGGCTGTTGGACGCGGCTGCTCGTAGCCTGACGTATGAGTCACAGCCTGGTTGATCAGTTATCCTTTGGAGGTGCTTATCCAGTTCTCTCTTGAACACTGTGAGGGGTCGGCCAGTTATGCCCCTTATGTGTAGTGGAAGCGTGTTGAACAGTCTCGGGCCTCTGATGTTGATAGAGTTCTCTCTCAGAGTACCTGTTGCACCTCTGCTTTTCAGCGGGGGTATTCTGCACATCCTGCCATGTCTTCTGGTCTCATGTGATGTTATTTCTGTGTGCAGGTTTGGGATCAGCCCCTCAATTATTTTCCACGTGTAAATTATTATGTATCTCTCCCGCCTGCGCTCAAGGGAGTACAGATTTAGGCTCTTTAGTCGGTCCCAGTAATTTAGATGTTTTACTGAGTGGATTCTAGCAGTAAAGGATCTCTGCACGCTCTCCAGGTCAGCAATTTCTGCAGCTTTGAAAGGTGCTGTCATTGTGCAGCAGTACTCCACTCTAGAGAGCACAAGCGTTTTGAAAAGTATCATCATCGGTATAGCATCTCTAGTGTGAAAAGTTCTTGTTATCCAACCTGTCATTTTTCTTGCAGTTGTGACGGCTACTTTATTGTGTTCTTTAAAGGTAAGGTCTTCCGACATGAGTACACCCAGATCCTTTACATTGCCTTTTCGTTCTATGTTATGATTTGCCTGAGTTTTGTACGTGGTTTCCGTTTTTATATTTTAATTTTTTCCATAGCGCATGAGCTGGAACTTATCTTCGTTAAACACCATATTATTTTCTGTAGCCCATAAAAAGACCTGATCTACATCTGACTGGAGGTTCGCCGTGTCCTCTATGTTGCCTACTCTCATGAAGATCCTAGTGTCATCTGCAAAGGATGATACAGTGCTTTAGGTTGTCTTCTTGTCTATGTCCGATATGAGGATGAGAAAAAGTACTGGAGCAAGCACAGTACCCTGGGGGACTGAGCTCTTCACGGTTGATGGGCTGGATTTTATTTTGTTGACTATAACACATTGGGTTCTGTTGGTCAGGAAATTGTAGATCCATCTGCCTATTTTTCCGGTAATTCCTTTTGAACGCATTTTATGTTCAATAACACCATGGTCACATTTATCAAAAGCTTTTGCGAAATCTGTGTAAATTACATCAGCGTTTTGTTTGTCTTCCATAGCATCTAATGCCATATCATAGTGGTCCAGCAACTGCGACAGGCAAGAGCGCCCTGTTCTGAAACCATGTTGTCCGGGGTTATGGAGTTGCTGTGATTCCATGTATTTTGTGATCTTACTTCTTAGCACTCTCTCAAAAATTTTTATGATGTGCAATGTTAGTGCTACCGGTCTGTAATTTTTTGCCTCTGCCTTATTTCCTCCTTTATGAAGTGGTGCTATCTCTGCTGTTTTTAGTACAGTATATCAGGAATAACGCCAGTATCTAGGCTTTGTCTCCACAGAATGTGGAGGGCCTGCGATAGTGGTTTTTTACAGTTCGTTATGAACATGGAGTTCCAAGAATTCGGGCCTGGTGCAGAGTGCATAGGCATACTGTTTATGGCTTCTTCAAAATCCAGTGGGGATAGGGTGACGTCTGATATATGATTTGATGTTGGTATCGTATCCATGAATACGTGGGTGGGGGTAAGAAAAACCCTCCCCCTGCAACAAGCAGCCCCGTGCCGAGGGTACCAACACCCAAGTGGGGTCAAATGAGGCCAACTCATCTAAATGGTGTCTAACAAGAGCAAGATATAGCAGAAGAATAACACCAGGTGTTTTATTACTAATGTTTCGAGAAATAAATCCCAGTGTCCTATTTGCCTTATTACGAACATTTATGCATTGATTTTTTGTTTTTAATTTTTACTACTCATAACTCCCAGATCCCTTTTGCAATGACTTCACAATCTCAACACCATCCAGCTTGTTCCTTGTAACTCTTTCGTCATTACCTAACCTCAAAACCTTACATTTGTCAGCATTAAAATGCATCTGCCAATCTTATGACCATTTCAAAACCCTATTTAGATCGTCTTGAAGTGATAGTGAATCTTCTTCCGTGTTTATTTCCTTCCCATTTTTCGTATCATCGGCAAATTATTTGCAAAATATTGTTGATCAAACCTGAATCTAAATCATTTATATATATTATAAAACAGAGGTCCAAGGACAGAACCTTGAGGTACTCCACTTACAACATTTTCCCACTCTGAATTAACTCCATTAATACTAACTCTTGTTTCCTTTGGTATAGCCATGCCCTAATCCAACTTAATATAGCATATACCATGAGCCTCTATCTTTTTAAACAGTCTTTCATTTGGCCCAGTAACAAAAGCTTTGCTAAAGTCAAGGTACACAACATCACCAACCTCACCCACTATCAACTGCCTCAACTATGACCAATGAGTTGTCTGGGGAGAGCTGGTATCTGAGGGTGCTACAACCTGGTGGTGGGCAGATGTTACTACACCATCAACTGCTTAACTTTTGCCTGGATCATTTTGTGGTCTTGTTTTCTGTGTTCTGTTTACCTTGCTGTTGTCTGTTCTCTTTCACTCTACCTTTCTGATGGTCTTTCTTGATCTGAGTGATCATGTATCCTCAGCTCCCTGCTCCTCTACAGAGGGAAGGCCAGGTTTTGGTCTATGGCTCTAGGAAGCTCACAATGACTTCCTATGGCTAGTGTGGATCAAATTGAGGAAGGTATCTGGGCTGCCAGCAAGAGGAAGCTTTCATAGGAGCCCTCCCAGAAATACATAGATGTAAAGCCTCTTGATCCCTTCTATATCACAGATATATAATCATACATTTTTATATAGAATGTAATTTGTAAGAAAACCTCACCTTTTTTAACGAAGATTACAATTTGATAAGAGACCCTCACCTTAGCAGCCTCGTCTCTGGCGGCATTCTCCGAGAAGAGGACCTCTGGACCAATCATTTTTCTTGGATCAGTAATTGTAGCAACAACCTCAGCAACTGTCTCTTCACCCAAATCTTCTGTTTCTATTTTTATTCTCTTACCGCAAATGCTGTCTGATAAATCATCTCCTTCTCGTTTCTCTCCTCTGGAAGATAAAGAAAAGACGAATGTCAGAGAACTAAACTTCTCATCAAATTAATATTTTTTTGTTAACAAACTTTATTCAATACATGCTGACAATTTCTGGAGTTTAACTCTTGCAGCCTTCCCTGGCGAGTGTTTTACTTGTGAGCTTCTTAACCACTGCACTATGCCACCCGCCCTGACACAGGCTATGAGAGGTGAGCCACCAAACTCGTAAGCGATGTTAAGATATCGTTAGATTCAAAACGCGCACAGTTGGTTGGGTACAAGATGAATGCCCGAGACGTACAATGAGCGGCAGAAATCTTGAAAAAAATTCCCAGCATGCCCCAGGTCCGCGGGTTGGCCGAGTTCTGAGTGAGCAACCATAGCTGGTGCACATGACTCCCAATCCCCTGTCGGATGCGCTGCCGAAAGATTGCTCTCTGATGATGAAATTCAGACCTTATGGTTTGAAGAAGAAAAGGGTAGTGATATTGATGAAGCAAGGCACGATAAAGACCTAACACAAGTGTCGGATACAAGTGATACAGCATGGATGAGGATGATACAGCAAACATATCCCGTACAGGGTGAGCGCCAGGCGTGCTGCGGCCTCCCAGGCCATCACCCTCGCCATTATTATCACCACTTGGGTTGTCTCCAATTTTTGAAGAAAGTGATACAATAGATGAACTGTTTTCTGGGTTCAGTGATGCTGCTTCTGATACAAGTAGCATAGATGAACAGTGTGTTAGCGGCTTCCATGGTGGTGTTACTATGCCAGTGGTGGTGGTGCCAGTACAAGAAGCACGGGGTGAATTCGCGAGGGAGGACTGTGATAATTTTGTACCACACAAACCACAATTTGATGATACTGATATTGGTGTTACACCCACTTTCCCATATACAGGTGAAGATGAGTGAAAGTAAATATTTTATGGCTTATATTGACGAGCCATTCATGCAACATCTTGTTGATGAAACCATTTTATGGCTTATATTGATGAGCCATTCATGCAACATCTTGTTGATGAAACCATTTTATGGCTTATATTGATGAGCCATTCATGCAACATCTTGTTGATAAAACCAACAGGTATGCATTGCAACTGCAACTTATTGCAGGTATTTATTACCTGCTTCATGTATGACACGATGGAAGGACATCACTGTGGCTGAATTGTATGTGTTCTTAACTCTGTTACTGCTTACGATACATTCCTAGAAACGTGTAATACAGAACACACACACAAATCTTTCCCTTGTGTATTTGTTCATGTAATACAGAAGTACTGGAACAAAGACAGCACTGTTCCAAGCCCAGTGTTCAACAAGTACATGTCATGAGAGAGGTTCCCGATATTTGTACGGTGCCTACACTTTGAAAACATTGCAAATGTTGATCGAAATTATCGACTTTAGAAAGTGCAAAAAGTGTTCAGAGATATCAGACAAAAATTTCACGATTACTTTGTGGACAGAATTTTGTCTTTGATCTTTTCCTAGATCTTTTCAAGACTACCTTACACTTCACAAGCTTGGCTACATATCTCCTAAAGAAACTAAAGCCAAAGGTGTACATGAGTGTATTGTTTGCAATCACACACAATGAAGAAACAGGAAACAAAAATCTGTGTGTACCAAGTGCATCGCGTACAAAGTCGTGCTGTGTGACTGCTTCCTTGATTATCTCTCACTTCCAAAGTAGTGAGTGTCTAATAGTGTATGACTGTGTAAATACTGTGTGAGAGTGTACATAGTGTAACTAAATTGAATATTGAACAAGTAATATTACAACAAAAAACATTTTTTGTAGAAACATTAGTGACACATGTATCACAGTTCCTTGGAACATTACTGTACAAACGTTCTACTGAACGTTGAACGTTCTATTCAACTTTTCATGCAGCTCAGTGGCAAGCACTTTCAACATGCTATTAAAAAAACTTAAGCAAATTTCCTGTATGTATTCTGTTAATCCCTATCAGTACGTGTATGACATTTACACTTAAATCTCGCTTCCTCACCCTGTCTCAATCCCCCTTCCCTACCATCTAACTATATTCTACACACTTCTCCACTCTTTAATCACACATTTTTTAATGACGAAATCACCCAAGACCAAGGCTTAAAATTTACAGACTTTAGAACGACTGTTTAAGTCTTTTAAAGAAAGACAAGCAAGCAGTGAGCCACAACCAGGTCCTAGTGGTATGCCTGCAAAAGGAAGCAAAGAGAGTACCCGAGAGAAGTCATCACTGCCTGATGTTATAATGAAAGGGAACTCCCCTTCCAAACACTAACACCTCTCCTCTTCACCAGCTTCCATACACCAACAAGTCATCAATAAAGGTAAGCTATAACTTGTATATATTATAGTACAAAATATTTGTGTATTATATATGAAATGAATTTTAAAGTTAATATTTTGGGAGTGTGGAACTGATTAATTCAATTTACATTATTTCTTATGGGAAAATTCATTTTGGCTTCCGAATTTTTGGTTTACGAGCCGTCTCTGGGAACGGATTAAAATAAAAAACCAAGGTACCACAGTATAGGGAAGTGAGACTTATATGTTCTTATATGCACATATTCCTTTAGAGCATTCTTTTGTGAACAACTTAATACCAAATTGAACGACATAGCACGAAAATTGAGGTGAGACAGCTAAAAAGAGTATAAACATTTGTGGGTGGTGGTGAGGTCATATGCACTTCTCGGGCTACCTTGAGGTGCGTGGTGGGTCGCCCCCCAGGGCAACAAAAGTGTTAACACTATCGGTCACCGGGCAGGCGCGGGGTAAACTTAGAGGTCATGTACCGAGCGTGCGGGCGAGCGTGCGGGTAAGCGAGCGGTGACACCTAAATGTGTATACTCGTTTCAGCTTTCTCACCTTAATTCTCGTGCTACGTCACTCGTTTTGGTATCATTGTGTTTGCAATTCAATTCCCTACAGGTGTATATAAATATAATGTCCAATAGCCTGGCGTGACTTCCAATAGCAAAGCCTAAAGTTGGCAAAAGTTACCCGTGAGCGCACAAAATCAGTAAAATGTGCATACTCGTTCCATTTTTCTCACCTTAATTCTCGTGCTACGTTGCTCGTTTTGGTATCATTGTGTTCGCAATTAAATTCCCTACAAATGCGTATGAATATAATGTACAAAAGCCTGGAGTGCCTCCCCGCAGAAAAGCCTAAAGTTACCCATGAACGAGCACCAATTTGTACACTGGAACCTAATGTGTACTGTATACTCGTTCAGTTTGATAACATCAATTTTTGTGTTACGTCTTTCAATTTGGTATCAAATTGTTCGCAATAAAAAGGCGTGTATTTTAAAACTAGTCCCATAATAATAGAGCAATAACTGGAATTTTAACAAATATTTTCATTCTGGAAGCTCATCATCACAAAATTATTTATATCTTTCCAGTGTTCTGACATAAATTTTTGTGTTACATCTTTCATTTTGGTATCAAATTGTTCGCAACATAAAGGCACACATTTTAAATCTAGTCCCAACATAATAGCATAATAAATAGAATTTTAACAAATATTTAAAAATTTTGACCAAAAGCCTATTTATAATCATATAAGTGTTCGGACATCAAGTTTCATGTTACATCTTTCATTTTGGTATCAAATTGTGCACATTCTAAAGGCGCTTATTTTGATACTATCCCGAAGTCGATTGGATAAAAAATGAATTTTATACAAATATTTTTTGTAGTGGACGCAAGTCTGGTCCAAAGTTAGGACTCAGGAGAAAAATAATGGACGCAAGTCCGGTCCAAAGTTAGGACTCAGGAGAAAAATAATGGACGCAAGTCCGGTCCAAAGTTACCAATAGTGTTAATATTTTTGGGTGTGTGGAACGGATTAATTCAATTAACATTTTTCTTATAAGGAAAATTTTACTCGGCATATGAATATTCTATTTACGATCTGTCTCTGAGAATGGATTAAATTCGTAGACTGAGATTCCACTGTACAACAAATGCAAAATTCAAAATATCCCTTTATATTATTCTGTATCAACTAAACACTATTTTACTCGAACAAGGTGCCACTATATATTGCTCTCCGTGTACTTCAAACAAAGTTCCCATAGAGCCGCACCTGTCATCGATGCGTTGTCTTCGTGTAGTGGCAGATGACAGGCTAACAGTGGTGTAATGACCATCTCCTGGCTGCACCGACAACCTCTCAAATTCGCCCCGTGCAGCAGTATTACCTATTGGAAAAAAAAAAATTGGAATTCTTTTTACCAATAGCTCAATTCACAACTGAACTAAAATAAAATGAGGCTTTACTAATAACTATATAATTAAATATTCTAAAACTTACCACAATCATTTTTTGTGTTTTAATAAAATAAAAATAAAAACAGTGAAAACACAAGTTTTTGCAGGAGCCCCGGTGACACCCAGAAGCTGTTATCTCTCATAGCTCTGATAGAGTGCCAACTACTAGGTGCCATCAGTCGAGGAGTCTATTGGCTTACCAGGATCCATGAGCCAGAACCTGGCCTCCTCAAAGAGATGCAGAGAGTGGTGGCCCATATGGTAAAATTTCTATGAATTTATTATGTCTGCAATCAACCGAGGAAGGCACCCAGAAAGTCAGTGAAACAAAACAAACTACTGCTGGCTTTAAATGAGACTCCAACCTCAAGAACCACCAAAAGAATGCCTGCCAACAATGTAAACAAATGATAACATGTTCATGAAACTAGTAGGAGCTTGTTTGCCCAGCCTGCCCCCTAATTGGAGGGAGAGTGGGAGGCAGCCAAGGGTTCAGTTGGCTGCTCCACCTTGAGGTTATCTTGAAGTTATCTCGAGATAAATTCGGGTCTTAGCATCCCAGTGGCCCGGTCTTCGACCAGGCCTCCTTTTTGTTACACATCCCCAGGAAGCAGCCTGTACCAGCTGTTTAATTCCCAGGTACCTATCTACTGCTAGGTGAACAGGTGTTCTAGGTGTTCAACGTCCTACCAGCAAGCATCAGAAATATTGCCGAACAACCGTGGACATCTTCAAGAGAAAACTAGATTGTTTTCATCAAGGAGTGCCGGACCAACCGAGCTGTGGTGGGTATGTTGGCCTGCGGGCCACTCCAAGCAACAGCCTGGTGGACCAAACTCTCACAAGTCAAGCCTGGCCTTGGGCTGGGCTTGGGGAGTAGAAGAACTCCCAGAACCTCATCAACCAGGTATCAACCAGGAATGCTTCCAACCACACGAGGGTTTCTATAGGCCATTGCTCCTCATGCCTCTCTGAGGGGGCCAGATTCTGGCTCATGGTCCCTGGTAGGCCCACAGAACTCCATACACATAACTGATGCCAAAGTCTGACATCAGCATATCAGCATGGATAGCTCTAGGGACCCGACGTGGCTCCCCCCAGAAACCAATCCTAGACTAAAGGGAACACTGTAAACCAAGCTGACAAAAGAAAAGAACATGCTCTAGGGACGAAGCAGGCTTAGGTAGTGCACGACCAGGCTGGAGGTGAAACAATGCATCAGACAGCTTGCAAAACAGTGAACCTGAATACAAGCTGCAGCAGCTCTGCCAACACCACATGATACAAGGCAACAATATTCAGAAAAAGATGCTGATCAGGAAAAAGTCAACCAAATGAAAAAGGCTTGCTATGACCTGAGCCGAGCGTGTAAACATGCAAAAAGCCAGGTTAAGCCTAAACGGGAGAGCCTGAAAGTGGTCAGCTCGGCCCCAAAAAACTGAACTAAAACTGAACCAATCCCTGAATCTTCGATGGATAGGGACATGCAAATACATGTCCCAAAAGTCCAGGTAAATAATCCAAGTGCCCCTTTGAGCATGAGATGGACCTGGAATAACATGGTCATCTTAAAGAAGGGGGCAAGATTATCTTGAGATGATTTCGGGGCATAGCATCCCTGCGGCCCAGTCCTCGACCAGGCCTCCTTTTTGTTACACACCCCCAAGGAAACTAGTCCCATAACAGCTGTCTAACTCCCAGGGTACAAATTTACTGCTAGGTAACAGGGGTATCAGGGTGAAAGAAACTCTGCCAATTTGTTTCCGACACTGCCGGGGATCGAATCTGGAACCTCAGGACTACAAATCTAAAGCGCTGTCCACTCAGTTGTCAGGCCCCTCAGCTGTCAGGAATGAACTCGTTCAACCTGGACAGATCAAGAATAAATCGGAGATCCGGAAAATCCCATTTCGGAACCGGAAAAAGGCAGAAAACCCACTGAACAGATGCAGACATTTTGTCCATGTTTCAAACCACCCACTCTGAGATGATCTTACAAAGGTGAGAAGAGGAAACCTGCCTAGAAAAGCCCAACCCACCCACCCCCCACCCCCCCCCCCAAAGGAGGAAAGACCAACTAACTCCACCGCTGGCCAAAGGAAAGACCTGAAAAGCCCACAAATCGCGAGACTTGGCATTGGAAAGCTGGACCAGTCTCGGCTTTTCCCCAACTACCCCATCAAAGGGGCAGGGCCAGCACAAACCCCTCAAGCCAGCCTTCTGAAAGGTGCAAGCATGACCAGACCAGACAACAAAAGATCGGCAGAGGGAGGCGCTTGTGATCCAGGATCTGACTCCACAGATGGCCTACCTGACCAACAACAGGTGCCACTCTAGCCCTGTCAAACTGCCTCGGAAAGTTTGGTTTCTGCCGAAACCAAACAATACGAACACACAAAAGGTCCAAAATGAACCGACAAGCTGCAGCTGGAGACAACAGGAACTAGACAACATCCTCATTGAACAACAGTAAAGAGAAGGGTGAGGCGGAGACGAGAGTTAGGACGCACACTGAATCCAGAGACTGGGCCAACATAGCTTGTCAACATACAAGTTGGGCAGTATATTAACCGGAGCTGCCAACAACAGGGAAACCTGAGCACGGAGCTGCCAACAACAGGGAAACCTGAGCACGGAGCTGCCAACAACAGGGAAACCTGAGCACGGAGCTGCCAACAACAGGGAAACCTGAGCACGGAGCTGCCAACAACAGGGAAACCTGAGCACGGAGCTGCCAACAACAGGGAAACCTGAGCACGGAGCTGCCAACAACAGGGAAACCTGAGCACGGAGCTGCCAACAACAGGGAAACCTGAGCACGGAGCTGCCAACAACAGGGAAACCTGAGCACGAAGCTGCCAACAACAGGGAAACCTGAGCACGGAGCTGCCAACAACAGGGAAACCTGAGCACGGAGCTGCCAACAACAGCGAAACCTAAGCACGGAGCTGCCAACAACAGGGAAACCTGAGCACGGAGCTGCCAACAACAGGGAAACCTGAGCACGGAGCTGCCAACAACAGGGAAACCTGAGCATGGAGCTGCCAACAACAGGGAAACCTGAGCACGGAGCTGCCAACAACAGGGAAACCTGAGCACGGAGCTGCCAACAACAGGGAAACCTGAGCACGGAGCTGCCAACAACAGGGAAACCTGAGCACGGAGCTGCCAACAACAGGGAAACCTGAGCACGGAGCTGCCAACAACAGGGAAACCTGAGCACGGAGCTGCCAACAACAGGGAAACCTGAGCACGGAGCTGCCAACAACAGGGAAACCTGAGCACGGAGCTGCATGAGACTCACATCCCAAGAAAGAGCAGGAACAAACACACAGTCATTGAGAGGCTCAAAAGACAGGTCCCCTAACAAACATACCACACAGGAGGTATGCATCAAGAGCCTCCTGAGCTGCCACCAGGGAAACTTAAAAGGTGGGAAACCAACAGAAGGATGACCCAGATGTACTCAAAGGCACCTGGAATCAAACCCGGGGAAAAGCTGCACCCAAAGCAAACTCATACTGCATCCCGTCCTCCTAAGGTTTCCCCAATGTCAAGAAAACAGTCAATTTATAGTGTCCTCTCCTAACCTATCAAGCCTCTCCTAACCTACTTGGGCTGGACGGTAGAGCGAGGGGTCTCGCTTCATGCAGGTCAGCGTTCAATTCCTGACCGTCCAAGTGGTTGAGCACCATTCCTTCCCCCCATCCCATCCCAAATCCTTATCCTGGATTCCAAATACAAATCCTCATCATAATGGCATGGCACTTTCTCCTGATAATTCCTTCCTAACCTACCAGAGGACCCAAAACAGAAAACAGGACAGTACATCATTTTTGCCAGCTGCTTCCATTTTCTAGTATGACAATTTTTGGCCTTATGTAATGCATTCAAGTGAAACGCGACGTTCTTTGCAGGACAGGTTGCATACAGGGAGGGCGGTTATGAAAACCGTTCTCCCTGCAACAGAAGACCCTCTGTAGAGGGCACGAGGTACCACAAAGAGTGAAACAGGACACAAGGGCCCACTTCAAAGGAAGGGGCTGGCTGAAAGGACCCAAAAGCCTTTCCAGGACCAGCAGGCTTAATTGCAATGGTGCCCAAAGTGGAAGGGACGAACCCCAAGCTGACCAAGGAACCCGAACTAAACCCTGCCACCGACCCCGAAACCTTCTGACGCTTTGAGGCCGGAATCAGTGGGATAGGATCAGAGTAAGGGTGAACCACACTTGCCAGGGAAGAGAAAGGAAGTGGGTAGGATAGAACAACAGTTGAGTTAACCAACACCTCCAAATCCAGGTCTCTAAACACTAACTGGGGCATCTCCAGGGCATCCAAATGGGCACACAACCTAGATTACTTTAACACAGAAAACCTAAGGCACAAGGTGGTGTCTGCCTGAAAAGCTCAAACCCCATTAGAAAGGTCAGAAAGAAGAGCAAACATAACATAACATTATGGGAGCAAACCCCAAGTGACTCAGGATCAAAGGTGTCACCGACTCAGCAGGCAGCACGGTGGAGGGAGAAGAAATGAACATTGTCATATGGCACTGATAATGTGCAACCCTCAAATTCACATGAAGCGAGAGCATGTTTGGGAAGGTTATATCTGTGGGACCACCAAACCCAGTGCAGTTTTCCAGGGCAGGCAAGGGAAGTAACCCACAGGGAGCCCCAGGCACTGGGAATGCTACGCTAGTCCTATATAATTATACAGGATCTACAGAATAAGAGCTATAAGTTAGATCAATACAGCCATTCATGAAGTTGTGAAGGCTGATCACAGCGTGCCAATAAGGCCATGCAAATCCAGTGCATCACAGCAGCCAATATCACTCCTGACCCAAGGAAAGGCAAAACCAAAGACAACCGACTTAACAAGAGCAAGGGCCACCACAAGCGAGAAGGACCTCTAAGCGACTGAACCCCGAATATTCCAGGGAAGATTACCATGACAGCGCAAGGGCAGCACTAAGGAGGGCACAAGGAAGGGAACCCTGAGCACATGCAGTCCAAGTGAACTAAATACATAGTTCATGCTGCACTAGATTGCACAGGGAAGGAGAGGGAACTATTAGGAGAAGAACCAAGCCATTATTACTATATAGCACTTGGAAGGGGTCAGGATAAGGATTTGGGATGGGACGGGGGTAGGAATGGTGCCCAACAACTTGGACAGTCAAGGACTGAACGCCAAATGATGGAAAGCGAGACCATCATTCTACTGTCCATCCCTAGTGGTTGGGCACCATTCCCTTCCCCCATCCCATCCCAAATCCTTATCCTGGCCCCCTTCCAAGTGCTATATAGTCGTAATGGCTTGATACTTCTCCCTAATAGTTCCCTCCCTTTCCCCTGTACCCCAAAAGACATAGGAACAGCCTCAAAATCAAACAACCACTTAGCTGAAAATAGGACACTGGAGCCAGTGTCAGAGAGGGAAACCAGGCACTCACTACCACCAGAGGAGAACTGAGGGTGGAGCAGCAGGCTGACCCCTCCACAACTGATGGCACCAAGTAGTTGACACACTGTCAGAGATAGTAACATCAGAGAGCCAATGGGGTGACACCAGAAATGGCAGCTCCAGTATATGAGAAGTGTACCTCTTTCCGCAGCTTGGTTGTGTAGATGTGGGGGCAACTGAGGCCGGTAGTCTGCATCCCAAATGGGAGAAGTGTTTGAGTATACCTCTTCTTCAAGCATTGACAAGAACCTGGGGAAGGGTAAAGAATTCATTAATAACTATTATCATAATCGTATAATTATCATAATCATAATTAATTATCATAAACCCTTTAGCCAGGGTTCACATAGACAATAAAAAAAATAAAAAACTTTAAAATATAATAAAAGTATACAAAGTAGCAGTACTGAATACTGTCTTTCTATTCTATATTGGTGACTGACCTTCACCTGTTACAATTGTCCATTTATTCTATTTCAATGCAAAGTAAGCCCGTCCCGTCCCTCCCTTTATTCCTGAGACACAGCGAGCACGGTGTGTGTCGCCTGTGGGTACCAAGCCTGCTGTTACAACCTGCACACGTACACATGACCTAGCCTTATTTTCAGGTCCCATGGCTATGGACAATCTTCACTGCAACATCTGTTTGAAAATATGACAAATGCTACCACCATAGCTTACAAAAATGATGGCAACTTGTCGGCCATGGCTTGAACACTCAACAGACCCAAGGTGCACATGATGACTTGGGAGCAGCAACAGACCCAAGGCCCACATGATGACTTGGGAGCAGCAACAGACCCAAGGCCCACATGATGACTTGGGAGCAGCAACAGACCCAAGGCCCACATGATGATTTGGGAGCAGCAACAGACCCAAGGCCCACATGATGACTTGGGAGCAGCAACAGACCCAAGGCCCACATGATGACTTGGGAGCAGCAACAGACCCAAGGCCCACATGATGACTTGGGAGCAGCAACAGACCCAAGGCCCACATGATGACTTGGGAGCAGCAACAGACCCAAGGCCCACATGATGACTTGGGAGCAGCAACTGACCCAAGGCCCACATGATGACTTGGGAGCAGCAACTGACCCAAGGCCCACATGATGACTTGGGAGCAGCAACAGACCCAAGGCCCACATGATGACTTGGGAGCAAGTCATCTGCAGCAGAGCCTTCCTGCTCTGAAGGGGAAAGTGAGTACTGAGCAGTACTCAAGACGGGACAACACAAGTGACTTGAAGAGTACAACCATTGTGATGGGATCCCTAGATTTGAAAGTTCTCGTAATCCATCCTATCATTTTTCTGGCTGTCGCAATATTTGCTTGGTTATGCTCCCTAAACGTTAGGTCGTCGGACATCATTGTTCCCAAATCCTTTACATGCTGTTTTCCTACTATGGGTACATTTGATTGTGTTTTGTTCTCTGTATTATGTTTAAGGTCCTCATTTTTACCGTACCTGAGTACCTGGAATTTATCACTGTTAAACATCATGTTATTTTCTGATGCCCAGTCAAAAACTTTATTAATATCAACTTGAAGTTTTTCAGTGTCTTCAGCCGAGATAATTTTCATACTGATTTTTGTGTCATCTGCAAAGGATGATACGAAGCTGTGACTTGTATTTTTGTCTATATCTGATATGAGAATAAGGAAAAGCAGTGGTGCAAGGACTGTACCCTGAGGTACAGAGCTTTTAACTGAACTTGGACTAGATTTTATATGGTTGACCGTTACTCGCCGAGTCCTGTTTGACAGAAAACTGAGTATCCAGCGTCCTACTTTACCGGTTATTCCCATTGACTTCATTTTGTATGCTATCACGCCATGGTCACATTTATCGAAAGCCTTTGTGAAGTCCGTGTATATCACATCAGCATTCTGTTTTTCTTCTAATGCCTCGGTGACTTTGTCGAAGTGCTCAAGTAGATGTGTGAGGCACGATCTTCACGCTCGAAATCCATGTTGGCCTGGGTTGTGAAGGTCATTGGTCTCCATGAAATTGATGACCTGACTCCTAATCACTCTCTCAAATACTTTTATGATGTGCGATGTTAGTGCAACTGGTCTATAATTCTTTGCCAATGCTTTGCTCCCTCCCTTGTGTAGAGGGGCTATGTCTGCTACTTTAAGTGCATCTGGTATCTCCCCCCGTGTCCAAGCTCTTCCTCCACACTATATTGAGTGCCTGTGCTACCGGCACTTTGCATTTCTTTATAAATATTGAATTCCACGAGTCTGGACCTGGGGCCGAGTGCATGGGCATGTTTTCAATTTCTCTTTCAAAATTTAGTGTGCTTGTGTTGATATCAGTTATATTTACAGGGGTTTGAATATCCCACATAAAGAAATTGTCTGGATCTTCCACTTTCATGTTGTTTATTGGAGTGCTAAACATGTCCTCATACTGCTTTTTTTAGGATTTCACTAATTTCTTTGTCATCCTCCGTGTATGAACCTTCACTTGTACGAATAGGTCCAATACTGGCAGTGGTTTTTGCCTTTGATTTCACATATGTGAAGAAATATTTTGGATTTTTCTTTATTTCCTGAATTGCTTTCTGTTCTAAGTGCCTTTCTTCAGTTTCATATGAGTGTTTCAATTTCCGCTCGATTTTTTCAATCTCCCTATTTAAATTATTTCTTCTTCGACAGGAAATTCGTGTCTGCTAATAGCTTCTGTCTGCTAAAGTTCGTGTCAGTAATAGCTTAGGCTTCTCAATTCTGGTACTATTCCAGTTGTAAACCTCTGAACTTTCTCAAGTTTTTGTTTATGCTACACAAGGTGTGGGTTCCATGCAGAAGCTGCATACTCAAGTAATGGTTTCACACAGGCAGTGTAATTATCTAAGTGTAATCACTTAAGTGCAGTTACAGGATGAGAGTTACGCTCGTGGTGTCCCGTCTTCCCAGTACTCTTTGTCATATAACGCTTTGAAACTATTAACGGTTTTGGCCTCCACCACCAACTCACTTAGCTGGTTCCAACCGTCTACCACTGTTTGCAAAAGAAATTTTTTAAATATTTTTTCGGCACCTTTGTTTCCTTAACTTGAATCTGTGTCTAATTAGTGAAGTTTCCTGGTTTCAGGAAGTGTGTATGGACTTGAAGGTTTCCTGTTTAGATTCTTAAATGACATTCTTATCTTTGTTAACTTCCCATATGTTATCATCATGTTATCATATTAACATATGAAGCTGATCTTATTCTCTTCATGTGAGCTTCTGCTGTTAGTTTTGGGATTATGTCTGCTCCCAGGTCTTTTTCTTTTATTGTTTCTTGTAATTGCCTTCTTCTTATGCTGTAAATACATTTCTCCTATCTCCTTTACCCATTTTCATTACTATACATTTATTTGGATTGTATTCCAGCAGTCACATCTCCATATTCCCTCCACACCTGGTCTACTACCTCCCCCACATCTGGTCTACTACCTCCCCCACACCTGGTCTACTACCTCCTCCACATCTGGTCAACTACCTCCTCCACATCTGGTCTACTATCTCCCCCACATCTGGTCTACTACCTCCTCCACATCTGGTCTACTACCTCCTCCACATCTGGTCTACTACCTCCTTCACATCTGGTCTACTACCTCCTCCACATCTGGTCTACTACCTCCTCCACATCTGATCTACTACCTCCTCCACATCTGGTCTACTACCTCCCCCATATAGCTAGGTGCTTGCAGAAACTGCTTGTGATACGAGAGCATCATACACGACAACAACAAATATCTGAAGTTTTGGTCTCAAAACCCAAATCACTTTATATAATATATGTAGGTAAGAACCTTCCCACAAGTCTCAAGTGTTCTCCCACATCAATTTGAAGCAATTTTCGTAAACATGAAAATTCCATCATATCTAAGTTGTTGAACACATAGTATATAGTAGGAACACATATTCAGTAATACAACACTGGACACATAAGTGCCATATAGTGTTACAGTACCTCGGAAAATGATTGAGAAGTAACAGCTTCTTTTCGGCAGGCATTTTATCCTTTTCCGCTCGAAATTTATCGAGCAGCTGCTTGCGTAAAGTGTGGAAAACTGCCCGAAGGAAAGTTCTGCCAAATATTGCTGTGGTTTCATGGTGAGGCAGGGAGTCGCACAACTGTGGCACGTAGCTAAAACACAGCCACCTGCAAAATAATGGAAATTTTATCAACATTCATTTAGTGCTTTATTAAGAAATTAATATTAAATATTTGCCATGCTTAGCTATTATAGAAAAAATCAGAAGAGAAGAGACTAGTTTCTTCCTGTCAATGAGCCTAGTTTCTTCCCATAATTGAGCCTAGCTCCTCTCCATCAATGAGTCTAGTCTCTCCCCCATCATTGAGCCTAGCTCCTCTCCATCAATGAGTCTAGTCTCTCCCCCATCATTGAGCCTAGCTCTTCTCCATCAATGAGTCTAGTCTCTCCCCCATCATTGAGCCTAGCTCCTCTCCATCAATGAGTCTAGTCTCTCCCCCATCATTGAGCCTAGCTCCTCTCCATCAATGAGTCTAGTCTCTCCCCCATCATTGAGCCTAGCTCCTCTCCATCAATGAGTCTAGTCTCTCCCCCATCATTGAGCCTAGCTCCTCTCCATCAATGAGTCTAGTCTCTCCCCCATCATTGAGCCTAGCTCCTCTCCATCAATGAGTCTAGTCTCTCCCCCATCATTGAGCCTAGCTCCTCTCCATCAATGAGTCTAGTCTCTCCCCCATCATTGAGCCTAGCTCCTCTCCATCAATGAGTCTAGTCTCTCCCCCATCATTGAGCCTAGCTCCTCTCCATCAATGAGTCTAGTCTCTCCCCCATCATTGAGCCTAGCTCCTCTCCATCAATGAGTCTAGTCTCTCCCCCATCATTGAGCCTAGCTCCTCTCCATCAATGAGTCTAGTCTCTCCCCCATCATTGAGCCTAGCTCCTCTCCATCAATGAGTCTAGTCTCTCCCCCATCATTGAGCCTAGCTCCTCTCCATCAATGAGTCTAGTCTCTCCCCCATCATTGAGCCTAGCTCCTCTCCATCAATGAGTCTAGTCTCTCCCCCATCATTGAGCCTAGCTCCTCTCCATCAATGAGTCTAGTCTCTCCCCCATCATTGAGCCTAGCTCCTCTCCATCAATGAGTCTAGTCTCTCCCCCATCATTGAGCCTAGCTCCTCTCCATCAATGAGTCTAGTCTCTCCCCCATCATTGAGCCTAGCTCCTCTCCATCAATGAGTCTAGTCTCTCCCCCATCATTGAGCCTAGCTCCTCTCCATCAATGAGTCTAGTCTCTCCCCCATCATTGAGCCTAGCTCCTCTCCATCAATGAGTCTAGTCTCTCCCCCTAGTCTCTCCCCCATCATTGAGCCTAGCTCCTCTCCATCAATGAGTCTAGTCTCTCCCCCATCATTGAGCCTAGCTCCTCTCCATCAATGAGCTAGTCTCTCCCCCATCATTGAGCCCTCCTCTCCATCAATGAGTCTAGTCTCTCCCCCATCATTGAGCCTAGCTCCTCTCCATCAATGAGTCTAGTCTCTCCCCCATCATTGAGCCTAGCTCCTCTCCATCAATGAGTCTAGTCTCTCCCCCATCATTGAGCCTAGCTCCTCTCCATCAATGAGTCTAGTCTCTCCCCCATCATTGAGCCTAGCTCCTCTCCATCAATGAGTCTAGTCTCTCCCCCATCATTGAGCCTAGCTCCTCTCCATCAATGAGTCTAGTCTCTCCCCCATCATTGAGCCTAGCTCCTCTCCATCAATGAGTCTAGTCTCTCCCCCATCATTGAGCCTAGCTCCTCTCCATCAATGAGTCTAGTCTCTCCCCCATCATTGAGCCTAGCTCCTCTCCATCAATGAGTCTAGTCTCTCCCCCATCATTGAGCCTAGCTCCTCTCCATCAATGAGTCTAGTCTCTCCCCCATCATTGAGCCTAGCTCCTCTCCATCAATGAGTCTAGTCTCTCCCCCATCATTGAGCCTAGCTCCTCTCCATCAATGAGTCTAGTCTCTCCCCCATCATTGAGCCTAGCTCCTCTCCATCAATGAGACTAGTCTCTCCCCCATCATTGAGCCTAGCTCCTCTCCATCAATGAGACTAGTCTCTCCCCCATCATTGAGCCTAGCTCCTCTCCATCAATGAGCCTAGTCTCTCCCCCATCATTGAGCCTAGCTCCTCTCCATCAATGAGTCTAGTTTCTGCCCCATCATTGAGCCTAGCTCCTCCCTATTAACGAGCTTAGCTCCTCCCTCTCAATGAGCCAGAATACACAAAATTATTCTTGGCTTACGTTACAACTGATAAAGTGGAGGCTAAACGTATGGAGCAAATAATTCCTGAGCAATACAACGCATATTGAACACACATTTAAAGATTCTTTCCAGTACTTTTAGCAAGTTCCATCTAAAAATACATTTAAGTTTCTCGTTACTGAACTGAGGGACATTACTATACAGTATATATATACTGTATATATATATATATATATATATATATATATATATATATATATATATATATATATATATATATATATATATATATATATATATATATATATATATATATATATATATATATATATATATATATATATATATATATATATATATATATATATATATATATATATATATAATGCTTAAATGGACAAGAAAAACGATATAAAGTCGAGAAAAAGTTCTTATAGCCAGGAAAATAAACGTAGAATAATAATTAATACTTTTGGTTTTCACTGACCTTGTATAGTTGACCTTATACGCAGAGCTTTCTTCAGGGGTGGTATGAGCCCGCCTGGCTGATGGTGTTTCTAAACGCCAGTGGTTGAGGCAGTGAAGAAACATCTTGGCCAAGTCGCTCATCATCTGGAAGTCCTAAATGTATAGACAAAGTATAAACTTCTATCATCTGACACCATGTTCCCTCTGGGGACTTTACCACCTTGAGAGGGTGATGCTCACGTGGGCAACCTTCCCCTAACAATCCAACTTCTTTACAAGCCTTCACAATTTTAAAAACGGCCTTGAAAATATCCACTAAACCACTCCAAATGCTGGTTTGACTCCCACACATCAACACCTGCTACTCTTTGACCCCCACACATCAACACCTGCTACTCTTTGACCCCCACACATCAACACCTGCTACTCTTTGACTCCCACACAACAACACCTGCTACTCTTTGACCCCACACATCAACACCTGCTACTTTTTGACCCCATACATCAACACCTGCTACTCTTTGACCCCCACACATCAACACCTGCCACTGTTTGACCCCCACACATCAACACCTGCTACTGTTTGACCCCCACACATCAACACCTGCCACTGTTTGACCCCCACACATCAACACCTGCTACTGTTTGACACCCACACATCAACACCTACCACTGTTTGACCCCCACACATCAACACCTGCTACTGTATGACCCCCACACATCAGCAACTGCTACTAATTGACCCATACATACTTAATGGATGTGATGTAACTATAACCTGAGCTTGTAAAAGCATCCTAATCACCTTCAGTGGTTAAGGGTTTAATAACACACTAGTTTCTAGGCAGCTATCTTATCCTGTCAAAGTAGGAGAGACATAAATGTATGTATCTATACTGTATATGTATGCATGTGAACAGAATATGTGGAAGATGTTCAGAATTGAATTTCACCTTTGTAAATGCATATTAATAACACACACTATGTAAAAAAGCCAGCGTTGAATGTAATGAAATGCCATTTTCTGGGTGAGCCCCGGAAGCTCCCTGGAGCTATCGGGCTAATATGTAAATTACTAGACCAGAGCATTATTGGGAGGTCTTTGGAGTTCAGCCTACCGGGGACCACGAGCCAGATCCTGTCCCACTCCGAGAGGCGCAGGGAGTAATGGCCCTGGAACACCCCCCCCCCCTGTGGTTGTCCTGTGGTTGGGGGTTTTCCTTATCTGCTATCGACCAAGGTTAGGCACCAAGAAATGAAGGTATAACAAAACAGACTTCACATGGTAAGAAAATTGGAACCGAAAACCAAACAGAAAGGCAGAACTTCTTCCAATTCCAAGGAAACAAGCAAACACGTAATGTCACACTCCACCACGCTCGTCCACACAGCGTCCCCCTAATGGGGAGGGGGAGCCCCAGACCTCTTGTGCCGATGACTCTGCTATTATATTTCGGAGGCTAAGTATCAAAACAACACGAAAACCTCTGACCAGGAAGGAGGAACAGTTGCCAGGAAGCCTCCGGGGCTCACTCAGAAAATAGTGTTACATTACATTCAACGCTGGTTTTCTTTGGCTCCCTGAAGCTACATAACCACAGATAAGGAAAAGAGGGACTGGCCCGGGAGGCGGCCACCAGAAGCTCCTCAACTTGAAGGCGAGACAACCAGCTACAACCTGCAACCCAAAGCCACACACGAACGCCCAGGACTAGGAATGTTGACCAAATAATGGGCGGCCAGGACCCTGTTCAACCTCTAAAAACCCCACGCCCGAATATGACCCCAAGACATGTTGCCGAAGACAGCAGCCAAAGCAGCAAACTTCCGAACGTCATGGGCATGAGGATAGACTGCAGGCTGGCTAGACTTAATAATGATGATCATTTTCAAGATGATCCAACAGAGTGCAGGAGAGTAGCCTGCCCCACCAGCCCCGAACCCCCAGAAGGGGAAGGGGCCAGCCTTCCAATGCCACCACAGGCCGAAAGAAATTACCCGAAACGCCCACAAGTGGTGGGAACAGGCGTGGGTGAACAGCGCAAGCCTTCTCCCCCACCGTCCCATCAGTGGAACGAACCGAGCAGAGCCATCACTGCGCCGACCAGTCATTGTGGGTTCCGAAGGTTGCACCGGCTCTGAAACTGGCACCCCTGACCTACCACGATGGGAGGAACCCCGAGACCTAGCACGACCCTTCCGGGAAGAACCCCCACGAGCTCCCTGGAGAACCAACAAGTCCAACATAAGGACAACAACTCAAAGAGGCCACTTTCAGATACTGCACCACCCCAGACTCTGCAAACAGCAAAGGACAAAAAGGTGTAGAAAACCTAAGAGTCAGGCCCCAAGCGGATTCCATATTGAGTGTAGCCCCGCCTGCTGGCACGCAAGACGAGAAGCAAAGAACAGAGACACCGCCCCCCACAGGATTGGCGCAAACAGCATCAACAGGTCAGCCGACGCCCACACTGCTGAGACCAGCACACCAGACCCCAGATTGGTCCCCAAGAGCCTCCTCGTCCTCCTCAAGCCAGTCCGAACTGACGGTGTGATGTCAGCACGAGGGTCTGAGACTCCCCCCTTCCCCCTCCCGGGGAGGGGGGAGCTGCGCAGACAGCAGTGCGGTGACAGTTGTGACGTCATGCTCGTTTTTCGTTCGGGGGAGTTCTGTCCAACAGTTCAGCTTTCAGTAGCAATAGTTTAAACAGATAGGGGTTTGTATTGTGGCGCCTTCATTTCTGGGTGCCAAACCCAGTCGATTGCAGACATAAAATACTTCCAACCACATGGGGGGGGTTCTATAGGTCATTGCTCCTCATGCCTCTCTGAAGGGACCAGGTTCTGGTTCATGGTCTCCGATAGGCCTCCATTCGCTTGACTGATGTCAGGATTTAATAAATTCCTATCAGCCCGGATAGCTCCAGGGAGCCGAAGGGGCTCCCTCCAAAAAACCAGCATTGAATGTAATGAAACGCCATTTTCTGGGTGAGTCCGAGAGGCTCCCCGGAGCTATCCAGGCGAAATGGATATGTACAGTATAACTTTCTGGCATCAGTCAATGCATGGAGTTCTTGCCTACCAGGGACCACGAGCCAGAACCTGGCCCCCTCTAGAAAGGCATGAAGAGCAATGGCCTATAGAGACCCCCCTTATGATTGGGAGCATTCTATGTCTGCCATCTACCGGGATAGACACCCAGAAAGGTAGGCGCCCAAAAACAAACCCCTATTCTGGTAAACTATTGTGACTGAAGACCGAACAAGTGGACAGAACTCCCCAAACGAAAATTAGCAAACAAGCATGAAGTCATCATGTCGCCGCGCCGCTGTCTGCGCAACCCCGCCTCTCTGGGAGGGGGAAGTGGGGAGCCCCAGACCCCCACCGTCGGCAACCCAACCGTCGACCCGACCCCCAGAGGCCAACACCAACAGACATAAAAGAGCCTTAGAGAAACAATCCTGAACTGAAGGGGCCACAACAAACCGAGGACAAGAAAGAAAAGAGAGCACTCTGTCCAAAGACCAGGACGGCTCAGGCGGCGCATGAGCAGGCCGGAGGGGAAACAATGCACGAGACAGCTTGCAAAATGGTGCAGAAGTAACATCAATACCGATAGGAAGCTGAAGCGGCTCCACTAGCACCGCACGATAAGAGGCGACAGCGTTAGGCATGAGGTGACGGTCCTGGAACAGCCAAGAGAGAAAGGACACCACCACCCCTAACAGAAAGTGAAGTACAACGAGGAAGACGCAAAATGAACTGGAAAGACCGCCAGGAAACTTCATACTTCGCCGAGACAAAGCCCGCAGGTGGGACACTAACAAGGAAGCCACCAGATCATCATAGAAATGACGATAAACTGGAGTAAAAAATTTCATACGCGAAGACTCGAGGAGAAGATTGAACCAGTCACGTGACGTACTGGTCCGATCTGCTGGAAGACGCGGAACCGCGGGAAAACCTCCGGGTTTGGACACCGAGCAAGCAGCGCCTGAAACCACGATTGGGCCGGCCACCATGGGGCCAAGAGGACAACTCTCCCCTGGTAAGTCTCCAAGCAAGTCAGGACCTGGAGCAACAGCTGAACCTGATGAAAGAGGTACAGGAACCCCCACCTCGACCTGTCCTGCCGAAAGGCATCGACCCCGACGGCTTCGCAGTCGGGGAAGGGTGCCACATACAGCAGAAGGCACAGCGACCACACCGATGCAAAGAGGTCCACCTCGGGGTGACCGAATGTCTGGCAAAGCCAACTGAAGGAGTCAGCGTCGACTGTCCATTCAGTGGAGAGGGGAGCGAAATGGGACAGGCCATTGGCCAAGACGTTGGACACTCCCCGCACATGAACTGCCAGGAGAGCCAAACCCCGAGAACTCAGCAGATGAGTCACATAAAGCAACCAGCCCCAAAGAGCCAAGGACTGCATCGAACCCCCTCGGTTCAGACAATGAACCACCGGGGAGCAGTCTGAATGGAGCCAGATCGTTGATTTGTGGGCGACCCGAATCCTCCGAAGAGCAAACCACACAGCTGTGAACTCCCACACAGTGCTGTGGGCTCGACGGAAGGACGGACCCCACCGTCCATGGCCGGCCTGGTGAGCACTGATCACAAAGCCCCAACCGAGAGATGACGTGTCCATGAACACATCTAGCATAGGCTCGGGTAGGAGTCAAGGCATTGAACCCTGAAAAAACTGAAGAGGAAGCCGGCGATGCAGCAGCCGATGCAAGGCTCCAGGGGTCTGAACCCAGCGATCACTAGAGGCGAAAGGGACGTCCCCGAAGGAATCAAAACAGCCGATGATGCCAAACCCGACCCGACAAGTAGACCATCATCACGAAGTTCAGGCTCCCTCACAGACACTCGGGCAACCACTGGGTGACCCAGAAGTCCCCCAAAAACAGGCGCATGCGGGACTGCAGCCGCAGGAGAGACTCCGAAGGGAGAGACAAGGCAGCGGTCCGAGAATCCTACACAAGACTCAGCCATGACTGAACCTGGGAGGGAACCAGATGGGACTTCCTCCAGCTCACCAAGAACCCGAACCCGGTGAGCTGGGAAAGAACCAAGTCCCTGGCTAGCAGACAAGATGACCGGCTGGGAGCCCAAACCAGACAGTCGTCGAGGTAGGCCAACACACGAACACC